GTCCAGTTGTATAGCAACTTGGTAAACAGGCCGGCCAAGTGGTGGAGGTGTGAGAATCTGCTCCTTTGAGCTGGGGCCCTTATTTGGGTTCTCTAATTAAAATCCAATAAAGGGCCGGCACTGTCATTCTGATCTGGATAATAAAGGGAGGCACTCTGGGAGAAGAGGGGACACTTCCAAGTCTCCACCCTAGCCCCCCCCCACCCTATTTGTTCAGGTGCAGGGGACCCTTGATGCCAATTCACACACACATGCACTCAAAAAAAAGAGAGGGGGGCCCTGCTCCCCATGCACACACATAAAGTCCCCCCCCCCAGGCCCTATTTGCACAGACCAGGAGACTTTTCCAAAACACTCAAGATGGGTATTTGAATATGAAATGGAAGAGTTTGTTCTCACTAGCCTTCATTATCTCGGCCTCTTTACTGCTCCTGCGCTCTCCTCCTTTGCCCTCCTGACAGCCATTCAGGCCTGGCGGGGGAAGCGTTCCCCTTGTTCGCATTCCAATCTCCAGGATCATACTTTTTGCAAATAGAGATGGCGGCTCAAAGACTTCCCCCTGCCTGGAACGCGTAGGTTTTTTTAATCTTCTCATCGGATTCTCAGCCATGAAACCAGAGCCTGACCATTGGGGAACCAGCTGGAAGGGATGGGATTCAAGACAGCGCTCAGGAAATCCACGTCTCATACAGTCACACGACCTCATGTGACACATCCTCAGATTATCCCCCTCCTCTCCCAAGTGGTGGATGTGGGCTGCATGTTAATGCTCGGATTTGGCCTGGTAGAAGGATGTGCTCCCTATGGAATAGATGCAAGATGGATCCGGATTGGGTTGAGTGCATGCAAGTAGAGTGAGCTGACATTCTTCGGTCAGGGTTGCCTGTAGGAAAGTGGTAAGTTGGGAAAACGACCCTCAAAGCTGAAGAGGACGGACACCACCTCTCTCACACACTTGTACGATCAATTTTTGGGTTCTTGTCTACAGTTTTCCTACACTGTCCATGAAGAGGCTGTGCTAAGCCTGAAGAAGCAGAATTTTCTCCATGAAAGCTTGCAATTTGCTTGAGTATCTAGCGGTCCATCAAAAGGTATCACCCATCCTTACATCTGTATAATCTTGGTGCGTTTATAACCCTTTAAGACTCAGAGCTCCAAGGGCAGAAGGCCTGACTGGGGAATATCTCACTTCTGCTGCTCTGATGACAACCGTTTCAACTACAACTGCTGTCGTTATTTCAGTTTAACTAACGATTTTGGCATCCAAAGCACCCTTGCCCGGAAGTATGGCCACAAGCGCACCATGACAAAAGAAGTGGAGAATATGGACTCCCCACTCCTCTGGGAAAGAAAGAAAATGTTTTGTGCTTTCAAAAACAGGGAAAGCGAATAGGGCCAAGAGAGGCAGTCCCAGATTTGGGTGCCCCCTATGTTTTGATGCAAAGCCCTAGATGCTCCACCCTGATTACAACCTGAACAGAATAATCTTGTCCAACTCCTGCATCCTCTACACATATCAGGCTACGACTGCCATCACCCTATCAAAGTGGACTGGTTGTCTGGGGATGATGCAGGCTGTGTTCCAACACATCCAAAGGGGCCTTCCTTTGAACAGACCAAAAAGAGATTAAACATGGAGGATAGTAATATATCCAGCAGATACAGTGGATCCTTGACTTACAGACGGCTCGACTTACAGACTTTTTGAGTTATAGACTTCTCTGGCCGCAAAATTTAGATTCGACTTGCAGCCGGAGAATCGACTTACAGACCAGAAAACACCCAAAATGGAACAAAAATAGAATAAAAACTGCCAGTTATGGGATTAATTGGTTTTCAATGCATTGTAGGTCAACGGAGATTCGACCTACAGACTTTTCGACTTGCAGCCACCATTCTAATACAGATTAATTCCGTAAGTAGAGGGTCCACTGTAGGTAGTCATTGATTTCTATTATATTTATCTCCCCCCCCATCACTAGATGTAGCAGAGGAGGTATGGGGCAGCCTACAAAAGATAGGAAAGGCCAAAGGGACTCGTGTTTCCCTTCTGCCTTCTGCCACCTGAACCAGTTGCTCACTTTGTATGAAGGCAGAATTCGCCCTATTCTTTGCTCTGCATATGGAGAGCATATAAAGCAGCATACTAGGTTCAGGGATATGCAACTCACATCTCTTGTACGCAAAGCGTGGAGAAATAATTCCTCCTCGTTTCTACATAAATGAACACAGAGCTGCTATTATTATTATTCAAAAATACCAGG